CAACACTCACAAAGGGCGATGAACTTGCCCAGGCTCTCACAGCTGGGGGATGTGGGAACAGGCGTTGGAATGTTACCAAACTTGGAGTCGCGGGCTATACCCAAAGAAGCCAAGTCCATCCACCCATTCTTGAGAAGCTAATTAAAACAACCAAATTAATAGTGTGAAGAAGGAAGATGTAACCAGTGTGGCCACACTGGGAAGAGGGACAAAGAGATCCACGGACGCCCTCAGGTCACTCTTGGGGACTCCCAGTGAGGTGAAGGGTTTAAATAGCTCTGGGTTTGAGCCTCTGTCCAGCCTTGGACAGAGTGTGGTTCTGGCCCCCACTGACCTATCCGGCTTCACTCTTCACTCTCATTGTTTAAAACTGTGTGGAATCCTTTTCCAGGAGACTAGGTTCCCTTCTGGCTGTGGCCTTTTTCCTTGCGCCATTATGAGATCCTGGGGGAAATTCCGTTTCTTGAGATCCATTGTTTCCATAGTCTGATAGTCACATTGAGGGGGCATACAAGTGTCTCCTATCAGAATGTCTTTATTTCTGCCGATGCTGCTTCTGTCTGGACAGTCTGGGGTCTCCAGGACAGACTTCCCATGGGCCCCTGGGATGTCTAAGTTGCTCTAATTATTTGCAGGGGCTGCACCCACTTTCTTCTCGGACCTCTGAGCCTTTCTCTGACTGCACAGGATATGAAAGACCCATGAGTCAGCCCCTCTGTCAGCGGCTTCAGATTGGGTTTCCGTTTCTCTGTAGCTAGACTTTCGTGGGCTTCTTCCTGCCTCTGTGTGTCACTTTGAGCTCATGCAAGAGGCAGAGCCATTGGTTTGGTCCAGGCAGCTAGGACTGGGCTGGCTTTAAAGCTGTCCCCTCCCCCCAGTGGTCAGCCGAGATTTCTCATCTATCACGTGGTCCTAGCGCTGGCTCCTCTGGAATGCTGAGAGGCCACATCTGGCTGTGACGAGGCTGCCACCTCCCCCTCCAGCTGCCAGTCTCCCACTTGTGCCTCTTCCGCCGAGGTGGTGGCGGGGCCTGGCTCTCGGGGCTGGTGGGGCTTCTGTGTGGAGTCATTTCCTCTCACTGCATTGATTGTCTAATGTTTCTGCCTCCCCCCACCCCCTTGAAGGGTTGTAAGTAGTGGGAGGGGAAGGTTTCTCTCTCTCCTGCAAGCTTCCTGTCCTGGATGCTTTCGCCCCCTCCCCAAGGAGGGGGTGCCTGAGCCTCTTGGACACTGAGGGACCCTGGTTGTGCTGGGAATTTGGTTGTGGATTCCCCAGGCTGGGAAACAAAGATAAGACGATGGGGCAGGGCTTCTGTGGAAGGAAGGGGCCGCGTGTGGATCGGTTCATTCACCCTTCCCCCATTCATCCCCTCTCCCATTCATCCCCTCCCATTCACCTTCCCACCCACCCATCTAACCATCCCCTTCCATTCAGTAAGAGTCGGGCAGGACGGCTCAGCAGGAAAGGCGGTGGCCACCAAGCCTGAGTTCAATCCCAGCACCTCACACGGTGGAAGGAGAGCACTGACTCCCTCCCGTTAGGTTCATTGACTATTCCACTCCTACCAAGGGAGAGCGAGGCTGGTCTCCAGCCGTGGACTCAGCTCTCCCTTTGTAGAAGTCTCCTTTCCTTTCTAATCCCTCTTTGCTTCATTTAGCCCAGGGTGCTCAGAGCAAGGTGAGGCTGCCCTCAGTCGCTGGCATGGTGAAGAGGGCGGAGGTGGCCTCCCTTAGAGTCCCATTGCTGTCCCTGGCTACATGGGCCTGTCACCCTTAGGAGAGAGCTCTGATCGGTGTATGAGGTGTCCAGGCCACCTGGGAGGACATATCCTGGTCCCTTAGTCTGCCTTAAATCTGTGGCATTCTGAGAGAGAAAAACCACTGTGGAGATTGAAGCAGATGCAGTAGGGCTAAAACGACACTCCGGTCGGCCTGGGAGAAGGAAGAAGGTTCCAGAAGGCAGAGGAGGAAGAGGAGGAGGAGGAAGAGGAAGAGGAGGAGGAGGAAGAGGAGGAGGAGGAGGAGGAGGAGGAGGAGGAGGGGAACAGGCTAACCCTGGCCTGGAGGCCAAGCACGCTTCCTTATCTTCAACATGGGAGCAGTCCTTGTGGGATTGAAGGCACCTGACCCAGGAATACCCACTCCTCTCCAGTCCTTGCATCCCTCTTAGAAGTTGGATGGACTGAGTGTCAGGTCAAAGGAGTACCAACCACCCTCCTACCCCACAGGTGGTCTCTTGAAGTTGACCCCAGCCACCTGGTCTAGCTCAGAGCCACACCCTGACAGGAGCCTAGAGAACAAAGGCTTTCAGGAATGCGAGTCCACCAAGCTCTGGCACCAAGCTTTAAAGTGAGTGTCCCCTCTTGGTGACAGGTGGTCCTGTGCCTTCTTGCTGCTCAGTTCCTAGTGTTTGCAGGTCCCCTCCCCAGCTAAGCCTCCCTCTGTAGGCAGCCCTGGACAGGACCTGGATGGTTTCTGGGGAATTGGTGTTGAAACCTCAGTTAGCCACTCTGCTGACAAGATTTCGGTGAAGCTGGGTCCTGGAGAAGATATACCACCTGCCTGTCCTCTGATAACCCAGGCAGCAAGTGGCTGAAGGGCAGAGATTTTCTGCACTGTCAATGTGGCTGCCAGCTGTGCCAGGTTTTCCTGCTACCACCCCTGGGAGGGACATCTCTTCAGGGCAGTGGGTTCAGTCTGTGCAGCCAGCTGCTGCCCACATTCAGGGCCTGTCTTCCGTCTCCTACAGGGCAGAAAACCAGCTGCTCACCTACTCCAGTTTTGGAAGTAAGAGGCCCAGGAAATCACTCGTGCAAACTCATCCTTGGGGTGCAGCCTGGGAAACGTGATGGAAGTGGGGACAGGGTCTAGGCTGAGAGGGAAGGGAGCTGGGAGGTCAAGACGCTGAATAGTGTAGACACACAAAGTGTTCTCATAGGCTGGCACCCCCTGGGAGCTGTCTGCCTTGTGCAGACTTGCTGCATTGGGTTTTATGTGGGGGCAAGATTCACCTGCAGGATCTACGCTGAGTGAGGTTCGGGTCCCAGTCCCCTATTACCTGCTGTGTGACTTTAGAAAAGTTACATCATCTCTCTGAACCCCAGCGCCATCTTCGGCCAAGTAGTTCTGGATAAAAACCTGAAAGGCTTCATAATTTGCATGAAAGCTCCCGTCTGTGAGGAAATGCGTCTTGTATGTGAGACCTAGACAACATGTGCCAACAGAGATCCGGAGACGCGCCTGGGTTGGTAGGCCCACCTGCCTTCTGACTTGATGGGTAGTCCGTGGAAAGGTTAAGGTTTGCTGCACTCCAGGGGTGCCTGGGGCACCAGTGTGCGCCGTTCGCTCTCTCTTCGAGTTTTGCTTGGTTGTTCCTGTGGTTGGCATGAGAGGGCCTGGCCCCAGATGCCAGGGTGCAGCCAGTACCACACACTCTCCCTTGAGCCTGCTCTGTCCTCCTCCACCAGAGCAGTGTGGTCAGGAGTGATGACTCAGCGTGGGCCTGTGTCTTGGGCCTTCTTCCCTGAGGAAGCCCCAGATGCCCTGGGCTGCTACTCGGCGTGAGTGTAACCTGGCACCCCTTCCTCTCACAATGGTCCTCAATGAAAGAGGGCCTGGCTCTGGGGTCATTATCAACCCTGACAACCTTGAGCAAACATAACCTCTCAGTGGGCCTCTCTGTTTGGGGCTGGGTGGGGGGGAGGTCATCTAGGGAGATGGCCCCATCCATGTGAGGCACTGAGGTTCCCTCTGTGTCCTCTAGTTCCAGACTGGAGCTCAGGGCAGATATGGGCCCTACGAATACAGTTAGGACGGAAGTGAACTCATGTCCTCTGGGAGCCTGGCAGACAAGGCTTGTCTGGAGAGGAAGAATTTTTCTCCATGTGTGCAAACAGTATCCATTTTCTCTTGTTTCCAAAAGCTGATGATGTAACCAGCCCTTCATCCAGTCCTCCCCTCTGGCCTATTTTTAGCCCGGCCCCACAGCATCTTAAGAGACTTCAGACTTCCTTGCTCAGCGACCATGTAGGGAGGGTAGCATGGAGTGAGGAAAGACAGAAGCTTGTCTGTTTGTCCTAAGCTGGAGGAGGGCAGGCATAGGCTGCCAGCTCTCCCGGGCAGGGAGCAGACCTTAGTGGGGTGCTCAACCTTGGGGGTTGAGTCCTGGCTACCGGTCCTTACCACACAAGGGTAAGGGTCTCAGCCATGCTTTGTTTATCTGCTGAGGCACAGGGGATGGTGTTATTCATCCCCCACACTGCTGGAGGCCGGAGTTGCTTTATGTAAACCTCTCTCGGGAGAAGCCGGTGCTTTACCTTTGTTAGTATCCCCCTGATTGACACAGCTTCCCAGAGCTGCCCCTCCCTATATTGAGCGGTTCATGTTGGGGTACACTTCAAAATCCTGTGTGCTTAGTTCCTGTCCTTTCCTCTTCAACTTCAACCGATGTGTGTGTGTGTGTGTGTGTGTGTAGGTTAAAGTTCTCTACTTAGGGTCTAGTATACAGAAACACTGCGGCAGTGTTTCTTGCCTATGGATTAGGGGTGTGCCTTTGGGCAGGATATTTAACCACTGAGCCCAGACCCCACATCGTAAGACTGTAATACCTGTACAGGCCTGTAGGGGGCGCTGCAGAACACACAGCCTTCGTAATACAGTGTTTAGCATGGAAAGCTTGCTTCCTGGGGTGCAGAGAAGAGTCCTAGAGCCCAGCTTTGGTATTCTCCCTTGGAGCAACAGCTGGACTACCAGTCTCTATAGAGGAGGCACGTGTCTCTCACTGTACCGCACTTGTGCCTCAAAGGAAGCATTTGTCGCCATCTGACCTTGTGATTAGCAACGGTCACTATCATGTTGCTCCTCCTCCCCATAGGCTGGGAGCTCCTTGAGGACAGACAGGGTTTCCCTGGCATCTCTCTGCCCTGTGTGGAGACGAGGGTGGGAACTGAGGACTGACTGGCAGGAAGTCCCCTGACCATTTGTTCTTCTTGGCTGTTGCAGATGGGAGGAAGAGCTGGCCAAGAGTATGAACCTTCAGACCATGGTGGACACGCTGCAGGAGGTAAGATTTCGCCAGGTTCCCAGCCGGAGAGTGTTGAGGGTTAGCTGTGGGGCCCTGATCGGGAAAGCTGGGCAGAGAGGCCCAGCATAGCCTCTGCCCTGATGACTCCCCTCTCCCTCAGCCAAGCATCGCATGGCAGAAGAGCTAGGGACTTGGCAAGTCTGGGTCTTACTGGATGACCAGGGCCAGCTACTTTGGGATGGGTGGTCCTCAGATCCCTTTGACCGACCTCTTGTCCAGAGAGCTGAGGACAATGGGATCCCCCCAGCCCAAGACCTGAGGGCTCTCCTGTTGTTCCCTCTGGCTACTCTGCACACAGGGCTGCCCTGTATTTACAGGGAGCCAGAGCAGCATGCTTTTTCCTCAGACTGTTTTCCTTTCTTTTCCCTGTCACGTGGTCAAAGCCAGCAACACTAAGAAAAGGCAAAGCAGACATAGTTTGTTTGTTTTACAACTGGTGTGACAGCTCACAGCTACAATTACTTGAGAGGTGGAGGCAGGAGGATGAGGGATTCAAGGCCAGTCTGGGATGCATGGTGAGTTCCAGGCACCTTGGGTTTCATGAGACCCTAATTCAACAAAACAACTGTTTTTAAAGTCGGGCCGGAGGTGTGTCTCAGTGGCTAAGCACTTTTCCTATCTTGTGTGCAGCTCCAAGTTTGATCTCTAGCACTGAGAAAAATTTAAAAGTTAGAATTAATTCATTTTAGAATTAATAATTAAAAATTAAAATTACTAGCTAGGCAGTGGTGGTAGTGCATCCTGGATCTATGGAGGCAGAGACAGGTGAATCTTTGTGAGTCCCAGGCCAGCCCGTTCTATAGAGCGAGTTCCAGGACAGTCAAGGCTACACAGAGAAACCCTGTCTCGAAAACCAAACAACAACAGCAGCAGCAAAAGAAGTTTAAAGCCATGCTCAGCTACATAAGGAGTTTGGTCCCACCCCCCCCCCCCAATTATTAGAAAGAGGCAAATGTCCTCTTTTCTTTTATAATGAAGTTTTTTTTAAAAAAAAAAAACATATTCACAGTCAGATGTTGAAAAAGTCCATGAAATCACAAAGGATCCAAGTTATCTGTAGTTCTGCCTTCTGGTGTACCAGTTTAATGTGTGACCTCCCAGGCTTTTCTGCACAGACACACCCGCATCCTAATGCACGCCTTGAGATGTCTGTGTTAGACTGACTGATGAAAAGTTTCAAGGACAAGGCTGGTCAGACATTAGCTCCTGGTGGGTTGGGGTTGACCTTGTATTTTTTTTTTAAAGGCTGGCCTTAAGCTTATACCGCTGACCATTTTTCTTTGTCATAAGTGTCCCCCTTAAGTGTCCCCAGGGCGGCTGAGGCACACTGTTAGCTTTAGTTACACATCTGCTTTCCGGGGCTCTGGCCCTAGGTGTCCATCCTCTGGTCCCTTTAAAGTCTGCCTATCTCTGTCCGTCCGCAGGCAGCGCAAGAGGCCGAGGCCATCCAGGAGGAGATGAACGAGAAGATTGAGCGGCTCAAAGCTGAGCTGGTGGTGTTCAAAGGGCTCATGAGTGACGTAAGTGGTGTGGCAGTCACCCTGGCCATCATCCCTTTACCCGTCATGCCAAACGCTTCATCACTCCGAGGCTCGGGCTCGGCTTATAGTTACAGTCGTGGCTGGCTGGTTTGTTCTGATGAGGGACGCATCGGGAACCAGGAGCCTCCCCACCCTCCCCAAACTGCTTCCCTGTGTCTGAATAGAGTCGCTTTAACCCGCTGCTTAACCCATTGCCATCCTTGGGGCCCTGACATCTGTATGTGTTGCTCGACTCTCGCCAGCTCGCCATGTGGCGATCTTGGTGTCTGCAGAACATAGGTGACCGAATGGCCTTGGCTGTGCCAACCCAAGAGACTTCAGACTCAGGGCATCCTCCTGTAGGGTGTCCTTGTTAAGTTGGGAAGGGCTGGTATGTGCGTCTTCTTGGCCATCTGGGGGCCCCTCTGAGTGATCAACCATGGGTGGAAACGTCTGTTAGCAGTGCAGGCTTCCTCTACTCAGAGACCTGAGTTTCTTGCTGTCTTCAAGCGGTGGGTGGTCTGCCAGGAGAGCACTCCGAAATGAGAAAGAGCCTGAACTTAGTGACTCAGCCTGGCTTAGCACCTGGCTTTCTGGGACATTGAGTGCAGTTGGAAGCCTGGCTTTTCTGCACTTGGATGCAGAGGGAGCCCTTGCTCTTTCTGTGTGGTGACCCCTGCTGTCTGTCATCTGTGGCAGGAAGAGAGAGAGAGAGAGAGAGAGAGAGAGAGAGAGAGAGAGAGAGAGAGAGAGA